TGAACCAACCCAAATACTCACTCCGATGGGCTGATTCCAGGTGAGCAGAATCAGAGCTTCCAGCTTGTGCCTGTGAGCAAACTGCAAGGGGTGGCTGAGCCTTATAACCCAGACAGTGGCATCCAGTCCCCTCCTGGCAGTAGGTCTCACTCCCCTGCTACAGCCGGGAATAAGAGACCCCCTTGCTCCAGCCCGCTTGACCCACTCCCCTCCTAGAGCAGGGACCACAGCTCAGTGCTGACCATTGGACCCCGTGTCCTCTCCCAGCGTGCAGCCGATGGGCCAGCTCCAAGCTGAGCATTGTTATAAAGCTCTCTGTTCCTCACCTTCGTGGGTAAAATTGACCAGCGAATATCGATTGATGATTTGGGGAGGGAGAAACGCTGCCATAGCAACATCGATATGAGCTCCGGGTTGGAGGCTGGTGCCTGCACGTTCCCTGAACTCTGGGCCGTCTGTGGGGTGGGATTTGAGAGAGACCAAAGCTGTGATATTTAAATGGATCTGATCCCCGTGCCATTGCCCAGAAATAGCTGCTGGAGTCTGTCGGCCGTGTGAGGCCGGCTCTATTTATACTCGTGATGCTGCCGGTGAGGCAGGAGCAGAGGGGAAATGGAGCAGGGAGGAAAATCTCCCTGTTTACGTCTACCCTTGGAGGCACTTTCGAAGCAGTCTTGATCTCCAGCATGTTCAGCGTGTGTGTGCGGGTCATGAGAGAGCCAAAGGGCGCTCTCATTCCCGTCCTCGCAGATGAGGAGTTAGGGCCGCTTCATGTCAGTGCAACGGAGCTAGGAATCTGCCCCGGGTGTGTGCGTCTGCCGCTTTTCCTGCTCCCCACTCTCTTGGGGGGCCCCCCATGCTGGCTTTAAGCAGTCAGCCGGCCTCACATATACGGTGATATACCTCTTAGAGCCCCGTTCCCCAGTCTAGCTTGGGCAGGCACTGGTTTGGAGGGGTGCTGCCTGGCACCTGCAGGTAACGATGCTTGTGGCCTGCAGTAGATCATTAGCTGGTCGTTGTTAGGGAGGAAATGCCTAATGGCATCAATTTGGTCACAGGCACTGATGCAAGCCTGCGGCTTCCCCCACCGACCTCCCCGCCGCTGTGGCCGTGCTGCACCAGGCCCAGACCGGCAGCCGAGCCCAGCGCTTGGGCTGTGAGGCACCACGGGTAAAGAACTGTGGACAGACCCGGGATGGTTTGCAGGCGTTGTAATGACACTGAACAGCTCGTCAGGCCCAGGGGATGGCACGAGTGATCGAGGCCCATGCCCCACGGCTGGCAGGGGTGGTGGTTCATCAGGCGCTGCACTGCATCCCGCGTCGCCTGCAGTTTTGGACGTGACGGCGGGACTCGGGGAGAGCAGCCGGAGCCCGGCAGGACTCGTTCCTCCTCCACCGCCTTCTGTGGGCTGTCAGCTCCTGGCGGTCCCTGCAGAGTCTCTCAGCACTTGGATTATCCCACCGTGATCACTCAGTCTGCCTCCCCTCTGGCTGATGAGCTAGCTCAGCCTAATTTCATGCATGGCGTAGAATGGCCCCCCGGGCTGCCAGCATGATGTGTGCCAGGGGAAGGGGAGCTGTGGGGTGCCATGCTTGGGTTTGGGAGCCTCCCTTTAGGCCCCCCTGCCTGGGTGCGAGGGGCTGCCACATCCAGAGCAGGCAGGGATGGGATGTGAGACAGCTGGAAGGAGCAGAGCGAACCCAGTACTATGAAACATCCTGTCCTTCCCCCAGCCCCTGTAGCTGAAGAGCAAGGAAGGAACAGGGTGGCACGATGGGCTGATTTGGGGTGAGCCCCCCAGCTCCCTGGGGCATCCCAGGACCAGACAGCCGGTCACCTCCTGCCGAAGCGGAAGCTGAACCCCCCTTTCTTGCGGTTGTAGCCATTGAGCTTCTCGGCCAGGCTGCCCAGCACGCCGCTGCGCTTCTCCCCGTCGTCCCGCGGCTGGAAGCGGATGTCCTCACCGTCCTCGCTTGGCCTCTCTTGCTGCTGCCCGAAGCCGGCCTGCTCCTGGTCAAAGCCCTGCAGCTCCTTGGCCATGCTGAACAGCGAGCTCAGGTCCTCGGTGCTCCTCTTCCAGGCCACCGCGTCCCACCAGCTGGGCTCGAGCGGGAGGGCTGGGCCTGGGTCTCCTGGCCCTGCTCGGTCATCCAGAGGGAAGCAGGTGCCCAGGCTGAGCATCAGGAGGCAGGACAAGGAGTAGGGTGCCTTCATCTGCGGGGTGGGAATGGAGAAGGGTTACAGGTGTGAGCGTCTCCCCAGCAGCCATCGCTCCTGGGTTTGACTCCCAGGGACAGGCCTGCTCAGCCCCTGGGGGACCAGATGGACTGGCAGTGCCTCGTGGTGAGGGGTCATGGCTTTTTCTATTACAGTGGTCCCTGGCACTGCCCGGCAGTCCTGCCGGAGTCTCCTCCAGCCCCCGGGACTGGCAGTGGGACCCCAGCTCCGCTCCCAGGCACCACCAGCTCGGTCCGGGGGAGCCGACAGCATCCGTTCAGCCTCCTGCCCCTGCGAGACCTGCTCCCTAGGAGCTTTGGCGGGGTAAGGCTGGGCATCACGACCTTGTAGCTACTCGGTCTTTTGCAGCCACAAGCAGCCGTGTGCGGGCAGCCAGGCCAGGCTGACAGCGGGTCCTCGAGCAGCGGGCTTCTCTAGGACCGGCAGGGAAGGCAGATTGCACTCCGGAGCTGTCCCCAGTGCACAGCGCTGGCTAATGGATGCTGAAGGAAGGTGGCAGGGGGCTGGAGACCACGCCTGTGCAACCAGCTCTGTGGGGGCGACCCCAGGGGGTGCGTGGTCTCTGCACCTCTGCCGAGGCGGCAGGCAGTGGAGGCAAAGGGGAAACGTTTTCCGCGAGTGCTTCAGAGCAAGGCTCTGCACTTGCAGCAGGAGGAAGCTGCTGCCGGGTGGCTGTGGGGCCCTCCACCTCGTCCTTGGAGAACAAGCCACGCTGGCTGCAGGCTCAGCTGTGAAGCTGGAGTCGTGGGGCTGTGGAGGGCAAGCTCCCTGTGCTGCCACTGGCTGCTCTCCCAGCAGGCTGCTGGTGGGCCAGCTGTCCATGAGCCACCCCTGGCCCCAGCAGCAGCTGATCCCTCCTGTGCTGCAACCTCAGACAGCTTCAGACCAAGCCTGGAGCTGCCAGCAGGACACTGGAGAGGGAGAGGGAGGGCTGCAGCCCTCTGCCTCGGGGGCTCAGATCCCCATTCAGACCCGGGCATCGCTCTGTCCAGCTGACGGTCCACAAGCTGGACAGCACCCCATGCTCCGTCCTGGGGTCTCTGCAGCAGACCCAAGCTCCCCGCATGAGGCAGGAGCTGGCATGAGCCTCAGGTTGCCTGTGGCTAGGGGAGGCCTGAGCCAGTCCAGCGCCACCACTGTGTGCTGCCCTCAGCTCCCCCATGGGCTGCAGTGAGAGCCAGGGGCGCTCAGTCCCTCGCTGGGGAAGGTGCATTGACTTACCCTGCTCCTCTTCAGGGGCTCCCCCACGTGCCCGCGGCTTTAGCAGCTGGTCTGTGCTGTCCAGCTTGCCCTCCCTTAAATAAGCAGCTGCATTAATCACCACGGCGTCCTCGAGGACGCCGCCAGCGCGGCGGGTTTATTGCCGCACATTCCAGAGGCTGGGATCCCATTGGGAGCCAGGTGGAGACGGCGTGGTGGAGGGGGCTACCGGCGCTCTCACTATGGCAGCGGGGAGCCGGCTCTAATCAGCCCTGCACGCGCGCTTCATTTGGTGCCTCGTTTGGAGCCAGGCGGGTCCCAAGTTGCGCTAATGACCAACGATGAGGCACGCGGGCCGGAGCCGGGGGTGACTCCTGTCTTGTGAGCTGCGGGCTCGAAGCGCTCCCATCCCCGTCAGCCCTCTGGATGCGTGATAGGCCTGGGATGGGGTGCGAGCAAAACAAGCCCACGGACACGTGCTGAGAGCTAGAAGCCGTGTCGGCTCACGGCGGGAGGGGCCCATGGCTTTCCTGGCAACCCAGCTCTGTCGCTGGGACAGGGAAAGGGAATTGCAGCCCCCAGGAGCTGCCAGCTCGGAGATCCTGGCCGGGCTGAGCTCCAGTAGGCAGCATGTAGGTACTGGTTGGTCGAGGCCATCTACCAGCCAGCCTCGATGCCCCTGCAGCTCTCGCAACAGTGCCTTCCCTGCCAACTTTGCTGGGACTTACCCCGGCCCCAGGCCTCAAGGAAACCCCTCCATCCCTGGGCGGTAGGATCTGGTCCCTCCCTCCCGACTTGCCTTGAATGAGTGCCCCCCTCCTCCAGGGTGGGTAGGCGGGGCAGGGGTGTTGGGACCCATCATGTGCAGTGGCCTCTGGTTTTGGTGGGGAATTGCCAGCCCCAGGCGCAGCTCCTCTGTGTCTGGTCCAGTGCTCTGAACCTGGGCTCGGGTGCCTGGGATGCCCCAGTCTCGTTCCTGGCGCTGCTACCGGCTCTGTGACCGTGGGCGAGTCTCAGTTTCCCCGCCTGTAGACAATGGATACTCGTTCTGGCCTGCCTTGCAGAGTGGGGGGGGGAGGGAGGGGCTCATGGTGTGAAGGCCTCGCACAAGGCACCTGGGAGTGATGGTGAAGCCTGGGTGTGGCGTTTGCATTTGGAGCTGGGTTGCAAAAGCCCAGAGCAGCCAATTGCTACAGAGCTGCTGCTTTCCACCAGCTGAGGCTGTGCCCCCCTCAACACCTGCTTGCACGGGCAGCCCCTGCGCCTCTTCAGAGACACGAGCCTGTCGGCTTCACCGCATCCGGGGGAGCTCAAGCTCATGGGGGGATGAAGGGGGTGCCCAGCAAGTCCAGATGCCTGCAAGGCGGTGGCAGCTCCCCTACAAGCTCTGCAGTACTCGAGCCTTGTTCTTGCTCGTGTCTCAAGGCGAGGCGTGTGGAGAGCTGCTGGGGGGGCGAGCACCTGGGGGCTAGTTGGGAACCGCTGCTAGCTCCAGCCCCCACAGGACACAGACCTGCATGCAGCTTTCCCCGGGCCCGTGGGAAAGGGAGATGGGCGGCTTCTGCAAAGCATTTGCCTCCCAAGCCCCCTCTCCTCAGACCAGGGTTGCTCCCTGCCAGCGGCAAGCAACGAGTCACATCAAGCAGTTCTGCTCTTGAGAGGCATGTTTTGTTCCCATTGCAGAGAATGGGGAGGAACGGGCCTTGGTCCCAGCTTTGTGCACCGGGAGGGCATCCTTCACCCCCAGACCTCCCTGTGTGGCGGTGGTGCCGCCTGCGTACACGGGCACTCGGGGACTGCAGTGCGATGCAGCAGTCTTACCGCTGCCCGTCCCTGCAGCACATGTACCTCTTGAAAGGGTATATAACTGCCCCTGGTTCCCAGGCCTCGGGGAGTGGCCGTCGGTTCAAACCTGCCCCTTCTCCCTTGGCAGAAGATAGCTCCTTTCCAAGACCCGCCTATTGCTTCTGGCCGTGCTGGTGAAGGAGAAGGGCCTTGAGCTCTCCCTTGTCTGACCAAGCGGATCAGATCGGCAGCAGCAGCAGGAACCCACTGCTCAGCCCCTGCAGGTAGGACCCCGGTGAGCTTGCTGGTCCCTGACGTGGGCAAAAGGCAGCCCCTCTCGGTTGCAGAGAGGAGATTCACATTCCCCATCGGCCCACGTGAGCCAGGAGCTCTGTGGCACGTGGCATGCCACGGCTTCCCAGCCCAGCCCAGCCCAGCCCAGCCCCCAGAGACCCCTGGCATGGGACCGTAACGAAGGCAGAGGGAGGCTGGGACAAGAGGTACATAACGACGAGTTCCTTTTATTCAAGAGTTCGAAAGTCCACGTGTACAGCTGGCCCAGCGATCACACCCAGCCTTGACAGCGATGCCCTGCTATGCTCCACAACCCGCCCTGGAGCTCACGCCCGAGCCTGCCTCAGCCGTGGCCCTGCTCTGCTGCTGCCCACACGCCGCCAGGTGCCTGCAGGACCCTGCCTCAGTGTACCCAGCTTGAAACTGGGTGTGCCAGGAGCCCAACACACTGTTGTATCCACAGCCCCCCTGGCCCTGAGACCAAGCCCAGAGGGCAAGAGGCCTCGTTGTGCTGGAGAAGGGCCTGAAGTTGGCTGTGCTGCAGGTCTGGGAGCCATGCGGCAGGAGGCCAGGTGGGTACAAAGGGGCTGTGCCGCACAACCCTCACCCTCCCAGCATCGGGTGTCGCTGGCTGTGCGTGTCTTGCCCTCCCTTCTCCTCCCAGGGGCAGGTGTCATAGCAGGGTGGCTTTGCTTTAAGGGACTGCAGACTGACATGCACTCAAAGCTAATCCCTGTAAATCCCGCGTCCTCCAATGGGATTAGGCACCTCTTGCGCCATTCAAAACAGACTCGGGAGTCTGGGGTGATGTGGGGACAGCTACGGCCACAAGGCCCTGTCACCGAGCCCTGCGCCTGCAGCTTTCCCCTTGATCAGCCCCCTGGGAAAGCAGGCTGGGGTGGGGGGCTGGGAGCACCCTGTATGCTTGCATGAGGCTTGCTGCATTGACGGTCTGGCTGGCGCCTGCAGCAATGAGTTCCTTCCATCCTGAAGGCAAAGGCTGTAAAAACTATTCACAATCTGTCCCATTGGACTATAAAAGGCTTGTAATTGGGGACAGGGTCACAGAATTCATCCCCTGGGGGCCCAGCCTCCCTGGTAGCTTCAGTGGGGGCATTGGTGCATCCCCCCAACAACTCCAGGACGGGTAAGAAATCCCCAGCTTGGGTCCTTTGCCTCCAAGCCCCCAAGCTGTGCTGCTTTGTGATGCTAACTCAGCTGGCATGTGGCTGTAGGAAGAGGGAGAGGGTCTCATGTAGAGCGGTGGGGATGGAAAGAAGGACTCACAGGGCTGCTGGTTTGGTTGAGGGGATCGGTCTCCTGAGCAGAGCAGTCAATGACCCCGGCCAGGCCTCGATGGCTCAGTTCGGACGTTCAGGCTCAACGCAGCAGGGTGGAGAAAACCACAGTAATCGCCAGTGCAGAAGAGGCCCTGTCCCCTCTCTCTGCACGTGCTATTTAGGGGCAGTCCCTGGGAAGCCAAACGGTCCCGTGGCCAACGGCCTGCTAGCTCCCACATGCTGTGATTTAAAAAAAAATTTTTTAAGGAGACTTTTAAAAGAAAAAAGCAAGACTGAGCTGGGGACAAGCACCAATTTCTCCTCTTCCACTGTCACTACATGGCAAATCGGGGTTGTCTGGGTTCCCAGCTGTATGATGGGGATGGGACCGCCTGCCTTTTCCCTATTCTCAGTCTG